CCCCCGGCACAGCACACCCCGCCCCGCAGTCCCGAGGGGTGGGTGCTCCCCCGGGGGAAGGGGGGAGGCGGGCGGCCAAGGGGGTTGTTTTCCCTGCTCTCTCCGCCGCCTGAACTTGACCCTCCTGACTCCGAAGGGGCTACTGCCGTTTGCGAGTCGCCAATTCCCTGCGATCACACATGGCTTTGACCCACCAGAGGAAGGGGAAAAAAATGCACACAACCCCCCCCCCCCCCAAGACACAACAACCGAAAAAACACAGACACACACACAAAAACCCAAAAAATAACAGAGAGGGAGAGAGAAAGGCTGTGAAACCCGAGAAGCCCCCGCTTCCTCCGGGCCGTGTGACACCCCCCCTCCCTCACTGTGCGTGTGCAAAGAAAGTCACTTTTAACCTCCCCCCCTTGCACACGCACCAGCGCTCAGCACTCACTACATGCGCAACAGCAGCAGCCGCCCCCCCGCCCCAGGCCTGCATCTGCCCTTCCCAGCCCCCAGCCGGCTGCTCGCCTCTGCTCCCCCGCCTTTACCTGTTGATTAATCGGCAATAATAATCTCAGCAGCCTGGAAGATGGTGGAGCTGTGGCTTGAGCCATGAACCGTCTTCTGTTGTTTGCAGAGTTGATCTTGGATGGCTGTGGGGGGGGAGTGAGTGTGAGTGTGTGTGCGCAAAGGGGGAAGGGGAGAGGGGGGAAGAAAGAGAGAGGAGAGGAGGGGGGGGATTTTTTTCCCCCCCTGCCTTTTCCCCCCTCCCCTCTGCCCCCCTCTTTGCAGGGAGAGAGAAAGGGAAAGAGCAGGGACCTGGATGTGCCTGGTGCGTGTGTGCAAGGGAGGAGAGAGCCGAGCCGGGGCTGGGGAACAACAGCCCCGGAGGAGGAGGAGGAGGAGGAGAGCAGCGGGCTGCAGATCGGCTCTTTATCAGAAATGTTATCGCTTGTCAGGACCTCCGTCTCCGAGCATTACGTCAGTTTCAAGACACCAACACTATTAATATCAAAGGAGCCTTCGCAGAGAAAAGCGCCACCCTAGCCGGAGCGCCCTTAAAGAGACAGTGCAGCGTCCCCGGCGCGCTCCGCCGGCGCAGCCTCCTGCTCCTCCCCCGCCCGCGGGCGGCAGCAGCCGCCGCTGGGGGAAAGGCGGCTTTGGACTCGCCCACGTCATTCACAACTTTCCTCCGTGTGATCATCGCCGTCCGGAGGAGTCCGCTGGCTCCCTGCAGCCGCTTCCCTGCTGCATTGAGCAGACAGAGGGAGATGTGAGGGGCAAAGTTTTAGCCGCGGGGGCGGGGAGGGGCAACTCTTGATTGTCCTTCCCCGAGTGACTGGCCATTCCTTAATGTGGTGCGACCTGTGCAACCCTTCCTGACCCTCGCATCCTTCTTCCACCTGCAGGGAACCTCAATGTGCCATGCCAAGAGAGCAGGCAAGGGTTTGCTGGGAGGGAGGAATGGGATCTTTTGTATTGGGTCAACTGAAGAGTCAGGGACATGTGTCTTTGCAAGCTTTGGGGCACAAACGCCCTTCTTCAGGCATAGGGAGTCTGCTCCAGATAGCTGCATCTCGCCGGATGCCTCTTCCTTTTGATCCAGCAGTGCAAAGTGGGGGGCTGGGGGATCCTATAAAGTTTTTTTTTCTGAATTGGAAAAGAAGTCAGAGGAATAGTAATGGCGCACCCTGATCTCCCTCACAGAGGCCTCTGAAGTGTCTTACAAGAAGATGCCAAATTGCTGTTGTCGTGATGTGGGTACTGGCGAATTTCCAGAGGACTGACCGCCACAAGCCGGGCGAGATGCAACACTGAAGCAGTCCCTGCCCCCAAGCGCTTGCAATCTCAGAGGCACAAACACGGAGCGGACGGAGGACTGACGGAGAAGTCTAGATTCCAGTCTGCAAATGATGATTAAAGTTTCAAATTAGCTTTCCAAACTTTCGAATTATTACAAGCCTCTTCTCGGTGCTCCATGATCATCCCAGGCACAAGACAGCCCCAAGCTCCTCTTGAGAAAATTCTTCACACTTTTCTGTGTCTATACAGAATCTTTTCAATTAAAAATAGTCAGATTTCTCTCATACCAGAAATGACTAGAAGTCAATGTCTCTAATGTAAAAAAACAAAATAAAATCTCCAAGGGAAGGCAGTACATAAAAGGTTCCTGTGAAAGACTTTTAAATCCCAAATATAGTAGGTGTCAAAAACTATGTAAACATTTGTTGAGCATTTCGACACAATTTTTCTGCAGTTAGGTGACTTTCTGTGGCATGTTTTTCCTTCCAGGCAAGTCATTTTTAACTGATTTCATATGAAAATAGACACATTCCAGTTACTTGAAACTAATAGTACATTTTTAAAGTGAGAAGCTGAAAAAACTGTTCAACAATTAAAATATTAGTTACAGATGAACATATCCCCCACTAAATATGTTTACATACCATAACATTTTCCTTGCAAAGTTATTTTCAGGGAAATCATGAATTATAAAGCATAAAGTCCTCAAAGATACAAACTGAGGCAAAATGAAACCTACTGTAAGATATATGCCATTTTCAGCCTCTTCTCCAGGCTTATACATTCTTCATTTATGTTTAGTATAATATACCGGCAGATTTGTAAAGTAATTGCTCATGTAAATCACCTAGCAACACATTTCCCCCTTAAGTTCTTTTGTAGGGCTGTCTGATAAAGCACTTTATTTATAAAAAGCAGTAAGTCATGTACCAGAGGTGAACTCGTCAGGTTGGAAAGGCTAAGTAAAATATAGTTCCACAATGAGGAACACAGTATATTCCCCAAAAGTGGGAGAAGAAAACTGACATATTATGTGTGGGACTGAGTATATTCCCATCAGCAGAAATTCATTTTGGAACAGTTCTGATGTTTATATATGGAATGCAAAGAAAAGCAATACCAAAATCTTTCATAAAATTTAAAGTCTGCTACTAATGACTACCTGAATATTTTAATACCAGAGCAATTTGCTATAGCACATCAGAAATATGCACACTGAAAGTACTTTTGGAGAACATAAATCTTCACTCTTTTTTTAAGTTGAAAATGTTGTCAAACTTAAGCAGGCAAATTTTAAAAATCATTTTCCTAGTTTCAGTCATTGTGAAATACACTAAAAGTAACTGTTGTGTTCTACTGAATATAACTAAATATTTTTCTCCATCCTATGTAATTTAGGTTTTTATCTAAATACAGCAGGGCAGAGTAAGCAATCAGCTAGCAGTTCTGTCCTGTATAGTAAGGATTAAAATTAGCAGGTACTTGGCTGATGGTTTGGCTAAGCATCTGACAAGCAGGGTTTGAATGGAAAATATTTAAACAAGGGTTAGTCCCCTTTGCTTCTCTGCTCTATTAAAATTTATTAAGCAAATGTCTCTGCTATAAAAAGGGAAACGATGCCCCCTCACACCTTCAATCCTATCCAGGCTTACATGAACAAATGCAAGTTCCCTGCATTTTATTCACATGGAACTAGAAGAGATAAAACATGTGAAAGTGTGATAACTGTGGAAGTACTGTGCATGCTTCAACATGTGTAAAACTTCCTGACACTGACATCTTCTTTCACCTGCAGAAAACCTCACCAGGATACGTGATTTATATTTTAAATGCCATGAAAAAATGCATCAAGGTTCTTTATTCTGTATTTTTAATATTAGAGTAGTAAGAGTGCATTTCATACCTAACTGCTAGAATAACAAATTGCTTCTTCATCATTTAAATAGAAAACTTTAAGGAAACATCGTATTGCACAGAAAAGTATGCTACAGTATCTCTGTAAAATAATGCTTGCATGATGCATTCTGCCTTTGGAGTTAAAATAAAGCAGATCAAGAAGACGTCAATATCAATCTGTTTATATTAACCACAAAAGAGCTGTGGAGAACTTAATAAAAGCAAAAATATTTTCATAAACTTTTTCAGGCAAATTATTTATTTATGAAATAATTTACAAAGAAAATTTTTACCTCATGCTTTAGATACATTGCATATGCTTATGATTGACACAATATGTTCAGCTCAAAGGCCCGTGCAGCATTTTTTTTATCTTAGCAGGAATATTTCAAAATAACTAACTAATTCATGAGGTCATACAGTAATTGTTTGACAGTTGTTTTTAATATAGAAAATAAGCTACGTATATTGTTTTCATTCAAATATTTGTTGATTTGTCGTTATAGTCCTTTGACATTGACATGCCACAAATTTCATTATGAGAAGTATCGAAGATTTGTTTTCATTTATTATGTTCTTCTGTCACACATTTGCAAAGTCACCTAAAGAAACTTGTTTCTTTCCCATTTATTTCAGATCCATATTCTCTGTGATATTAGGTGGCTGTTGAAATAAAAAATCCAGCATTTTATGGCAGGTAGGTTCTGAAG